GAGTTTGTGGGGCACTAGAGCTGGTGTTTGACTCTTGACTGCATGGATCTAAAGGTGAGATGGCTGTAGGAGGGACATAGAGGTGGGGTGGAGTGGACAGAAAGGATTTTGTTGCCAGTGAGCTGTATTTCTAGAGTTTGATGGGGTAAAGATTTGAGTTTTCCCGTAGCTAAGGTGGGCCACTCAGACAATAGCTGGGCTCGGGTGCCTTGAAGGATTCCTCTCCAAAGGACTGCATGGAGGGTGGTAGATTCACCAGAATGGGGCTGGCTGGGTGCACCACTACTTACAGGTGATAAAGGGGTTTCGGGGAGGGTGCATCGCTTCTGCCTGGGAATAGTGAAGTGGGATTCTCTGTCGGCCATGAGAGAAATGACCAGCATTTGGACTCCTCCAACACAAAGGGCATCAGCTCCAGATTAAACAGGGCTGGTCACATAAAACCTTCTGTCCGCTCCCCTTCCCTTTTTGTTCCACCCTCATGATGCTTCCCCCTACCCGGGAGGAGCCAGGAGCAGCACCACGAGTGGGGGAAGGGCAAAGGAGAGAAGTGCGAAGAAATAAAGCATGAGCGCTCTCTTTACTGCCCTACTGCGCTCTGGCTGGGGAAGTATTTGAATTGAATGAGATTTTCAAATTTTGACTTGACTGGACTTAATCCTTTATTGTTTTGTTTTTTTCTTTCCTTCATAATTACAGATAACAGTGGTTACTTGTACAACCTCCACAAGTTAAAGGAACTGTCCGATGAAGGATAAAGTGCACTTTTGTAATGAACTTAATCCTTTAAAATGAAAATGGTAAGTCATCCAAGGACAGGGAATGGAGAACCAGGAGAGATTACACAAAGGCAATGGGAAGAAAATTAATAAAGCTGCCTCCCTACTGAGCGCTTAGGCAATGAACCAAATGGATCGATGCAGAGAGCAAATGAATAGGTGTTGTTAAGATGACGCTTGAGCTCAATCTGAACTGAAATGAGAAAAGAGTGTCATGTATGGAAGGATGATCCATCCATCGCAGGGTCTTCAATGGAATAAAATAATTCTGATGTTATTATAGGTTTTGAAACTTTGGTCAGCTCCTTGTACAGTAGTGCCATGGGTAGATTTAATTTTAAAAATCTCAGCAAAGACATATATTTCCCTCATTATTTTTCCAGCAATTATTTTCTTTTTGCTAAGGCAGGTAGAAAACAGTAATGGTCTGTCAGTAGGTTATGTCCTAAAAGATTTTTGTTTCACTTCATAAAATACTCAAAAAGAAAAATCCATATATGATGCATCAGAATTAAGGGAAAGCAGGTAATATTCCATCCCCTCCAATATTCCAAATATGGTCCACCACAATTCTTACTGCGTATTTTAGCCATTATCATCACTAGACAAGAATTTGGAGACATAGTGCTCGTTTGAAAAATCTGACTCACTGTTCGAGGCTAACTGATGTAAACACCCAACCGAATAAAAGAAAATTCATATTTACATCTTATTTTTCAGATATTCATTCACTGTTCCATTTTCTACAACATAAAGGCCAAAGCCCTCCTGGGAAGACTTCCTTCAGCCTCTCGGAAGTGCTAAAATTTCTGAGCAAGCACACAGCTTCCCCTGGCCCCTCGCTGTTTGCTTCTCCAGTTTTTACCTGAAAGCAAAAGTAAAAACTGCTTCCTGTATACGAATGAACATGAGATTAATTTATATAGAGAAAAATCTGCTGCTGTGGGCAGACATCTGAACCACTTAATCTTTACTCTGTCACCCAAATTGATAGAGCTCAGGGAAAATCAATATACCCAGCAGAAGGCAAAAGCAATAAGAAAGGCAACCTCTCTCTTATTTAGAACATTGCAGGGTGTTTTGTTTTAAAGAGTGATCTTGGCCTTTGAGTCATAGGGGCAAAGTGTTTTTCAAATAAAATATTTAAAAATCTTTAGAACTCATCTTTCTAACCTCATCGTTATAGGGGAAAGTCTTACTTACCTAGGAGTCCAGATATGAGAAGTGTGAATGAGTGTGAGTGTGCGCGTGTGTGCGTGCACATATGTGTGTGCATTGGGTGGGAAGGAGAGGGGTGTTTGGCTAATGTTTTTGCAAAACGTTTGTCTAAAAGCTGAAGAGAAGCTCTAGTGAAGTGGCAGAGAAGAGCTGGAGGAGGCGAGTGGAATGCAGACACCCAGGCATCCTGCTTGTCGTTGGCAGGAACGTGACCTCGGATCTAGGGGCTACTCTGCCATCGTCATACATCCCGGCATTCTCAGTGCTCTCTGACCACCTAATAAACCGTCCACTCTCATGCCTATACACCTTTGTTTACGCTGCACTTATCTTCTCCTTATTCATCTGGCAAATTCCAGTTCTGGTATCACTTCCTTTAGAAAGCCTTCCCTGAACCCCCAATCCAAGGTAGCCTTTCACTTTCCTGGTCCCATATCATTTATTTTGTACCTCTGTTAGTCATGTGTTGCTTTAAATGTTTACTCAGAACTTTGATATTTGAATAATTTGAGAAATGCCGTAATATAAATATAAAACTATATTAAAGGCACTAAGAAGTCCTAAAGTAAAGAAATCTGTTTATTATTTTTAGCTCAAAGTTCCCCAGCTTATTTGACAACATACAAGTGTAGCCCCTCTTCCCTCATATAATGATTATTATCCTTAATAACTGGTGTTACAAGGAAAACATTTTGGAAAAGTTGGTTCCTGTGATTTCTTTGGGGTCAGTGACTGCTTTTGTATCACCAGGATACGCAAAAATGTCTGACATATAAAAAGTGTTTATTATGTGTTTGTTGAATGAATGAATGTGTGAGCGATGAATGAAGAAGCCTCATTCTAGTGTTCAGGCTCTCATTGGACTGAGTACATAATATGGTGGGTTGCTGGAAGGGAGGTAAAAGTTCTCCATAGATTTCTTTCTTTCAGGCCCAGCTACTTCATTAAGTCTTGGTATTGACCTCAAGGGACTACGCAATGCTTGGGGGTGAAGCTGACTGCCTTAGGGTGGTGTTTTAGGATAGCCAAGGAAGAGGATGAAAGATAGGAAAACGGAGATGGGAAGATGGGGTGGGGAGAGGGAGCAGGAGAGGAGAGAGGCAAATGACCACAGCAAGGATGGCAGTGTCCTACCACCAAGTCCTAGTGCTCCTCAGGGAAGACCACGCATCATTAGGCCTATCTCTTGATATAGATAGTAAAACATCTGCTGGTTAAGATATTAGAAAAGACAGGTCCTATTTTTCTTACCCCTTAGGCCCTTTAGACCTCTTTTATTCTTTTTTTCTAATGCCAAATGCAGAGTGCTTATGAGTACTCAGGAGGGACCTAAAACATTTAAGAATAGATCTCAATGGATGATGAATTTGGAGACTTTGATGTACAGCCTTAGGTAAAGAAAGAACAGTTAAGTGATTTCTCTTTGGCAAATGGGTCAATGAAGACTCTGAGGAGTTAAGGGTAATAATAACGTAATGATGCCCGAAGCAACGCAGCGCTCTGACAACTGGGCCTGGAGCACAGGCATCAGGACCCCCAACCTTACCCCTTTCTCTGTTCCTTGTTGACACAAATATGGTCAAAATGTGTGTGGTCACAAATGAGAGTGGGCAAGGACTGGGGGCGATGCATCCTTCAAAGGATGGATTACATTCAGGTAACATAGTCAAATAAATGATTTGATACTAGTCTACAGCTCTGTTGCCTGTCCCAATAAATGCGTTCTTCCCAGCCAACCAATCCTCACCTTCCCTGAGGATGAAAAATGATGCACTGCATAAATCAGCATTAGATCATGACATAGGTTACTCAGAGGATCTGACCTTGGAGCTAATGTTCAAGCAATTGGAAAAAGTTCTTTAACAACTCCCCATACTTAAGTTTGTACCTCTGAGAAACAACACCAAGGGTCATTGCACGTTTAATGCATTAGTCTTCCAAGATTTGCTGTACTCCTTGCACTAGATTCTAAGTATGGCAGAAAAACAATCTCAAAATTAGCTTACACCCATCAATTAAGAAAAAGTTTCTTTTTTGAAACTCCAAGAGACTGTCAGTTGCTTTATTCATTTAAACAAACACATCTAGAGGTGGAGACACTTTGTAGTTTTGAGTTAACTCAATTGTCTTTTAAAATAGTCATGCAGATTTATGGATTAATCTATCACTATTGGTTATCGTTCACTCCACACATAACACTCAGGTATAGTGTGGTTCCTACAATGGCCATCAGTGGAGATGGGCTATGGGTCTTTAGGACCAAGGTACAGATATAAACATGGAAACCTCCATCTTTTGTCATTCCCCAAAGTGTTATACCTGCCTTACTTTTAAAAGACGGTAGTGAAAATATTTTGTCTTTTCTTTAATCTAAACTTTTTATGTAAGTGATCCTAGATGGAACTAAAGAACATTTCTGAGGCATTTTGTTTTGTTTTGTTTTCTTGTTCTACCTTGCTCTGGTCTCTCTTCTGTGGAAACTTTCTCCTTCAAGGTCAAATTTCCCCTACAGAGCACTAGTCCCTGTGGCCACTAGGGGGCCCTGCGGCACACCACATTCAGGATTCATCCTGTGCCTTCACTCACCTCACTACCACTGGGGGTGTTCTTAAGGAATTCCCATCAATTGATCTATTTTTTTGTGAAAAGTATCTTAAGATTAATGCAGCCTTGTCTTCAGAAATAAGAAATACTGACAGCAAAGAGATAAGGAAGTAAAGCATAATAATGGAAATGTGAAAATAGCAAGACCAGGTCAGGGGTGAAGAACAGCCTTTAACTAGGTGGCCCTCCTCTTAGCTAGAGCTCTCGCATCTGCAGTTTGTCTTTATCAGATGGCTTATTCTTCTCTTCTCTTCCACCAGGTTTCTCAAAGGACCCTCCTCACCCCCTTCTCTCCTCCCTTCTCTGTTGACAGGGCCACAGTTAGGTCAATGTAGGGGGTGGGAAGAGATGGCAGGAAGAGTTATCCCGGGGAAAGGAGTCCATTTGTACCCAGCTCACCCAGTTCGTTCTTGAAGGTGTGGTCCTGCGGGAGAATGGAGTGGGAATTCTGACTGGTTCCTCCTCCAACAAACCAGTTCACATTGGGGTTCCAGTGGTTCACATAGCCACAGAGATGATTTTCTTCAAAATCACATTCTAGCAGAAGAGAAACAAAAACACATGTCATGGAGATGTAGTCACAGCTGGGGACTCCCGTGCTCGCTGCAGTTTGCTTTTAGATATCAAAATATGTTTCTCCCTCCCTTCGTCCACTGAAACCAGGACCCCCAGGTAATATTGGTCAAGGAGAGAGAGAGAGCCTGTAATGAATTGAGACTAACTCATTGTTGCCTCTCTGGACAGTGGTTCTCCAGCTTACTAGCCCTCTGGCGTACAGTGATCACTATATGTCTTAGCCTCCATTCCTTCATGTGTGAAAGTTGTAAGTGGGGACAGCTCCCAGCACAGTGTCACGCGCATGGCTGGGGCTTGGTACAAGCCAGCTGTTTTTATCAGTCATCCTGTTTCAAAGCAGCATTTAGGGCTATGCTCTTAGGTCCAGGAATTTTATTGTCCACCTTTTCTCGCACCTGGTAGCCCATTCTTCCATCTTCTTCCCTTCTGATGGTGGTCAAAACACCCAGAGCTAAAAGGCATCTTTCCCAATGCAAAAATCCTCTGTTTTTCTTGTAAATAAGAATCTAGTTAGATAAAATAGGCAGGGCAGGCATATCCTAAGCTCTGGGTCCTTCTGCAGCTACTGAATAGAGACCAGACACAAGATAAAGAGACCCCCTCCCCATTTTTAGTGGCATTGACATATTTGCATGGATAAATTGTTCCCAGTCAACAGACTCATTTATTAGGAACAAGAAACTCACAAGCCAGTGCTTCCACTGACCCCCATAATCATCACTTAAAAATATGAAGTGTGATTGTGCTGGTCGTCTCCCGTTGGCCCCTTCAGGCCCACCCTCCCTTTTTTTTCACCCCGCTCTGTCCTCCAGAGGTTGACCTGTGTAAGTTATATCCATGGACTCCCCTGCCCTCTGGCTTCCTGTTGGATTTGACCAGGGGAAGATGGGAGGAGAATGGAGTTGGGACTGCTTGTTCCTCCAGTGCCCTCCCTGCCTGCCAGGTTACCCTGGGTTGGCTGTGTCCCACTCATGGGGACACAGATAACTCTCGCCACAAAGCTACTGTCTCCAGGTTCTGGTACTCCTTCAGATCTAAAGAAGGTAACAGCTCATGAGTCATCACTGTTACTAGCCCTGGTTTACAGCACTAGTTTACAGTTTCCTCTACCCACTCACACCTTTGTAGTTCCTTGCTGAACTGTCCTCAAATTATGCAGGTTGAATGCACCCTCTGTTTCCACTTTCCTGCCATGACCTTGACTGATACAGTTATCAATGTGGTTTTATATTAGCAGACCCTGAAACATTTTAATGTTTTCATTAGCAACTTTTCCACTGCAGCATCTGCTAACCAATGCTCAACACTCAGTGTCAAAGATGGCCACAGAGTAAAATAAAAAGCAAAACATTCCTCACTGTGCCAGGCACTATTCTGAGCACTTTGTATGAATTGACTTATTTAATCCTCAAAACAACCCAATAAGATAGATACTACTATTAACCTCATTTTCCAGATGAGGAACTGTGAGAATCAAAGAGAGTGTACAGAAAAAAGAAGAGGTGAGAGTGTGCACATAAGTTTAACAAGATAAAAGTATTGGCTCTCCTTTTGTTTTTTAAACAAACCAGAAACTATCAAGTGACTTGAAGAAAAGAAATAAACATTTTTTGAGTGTCCAGCACCATATGAACCACCTTCATACTTATGATCACATCAGTCCCCACAAAAATCCTATGAGGGAAGCATTTTATCCCCATTTTACAGGAGAAAAACGGAGGTTGTGGGGCTCAGTGAGTTGACTGAGCCAGCAGGTGGCGCTCCACCAGGCATGCCTGACAGTTGTCTGGTTGTGTAAGACCTGTGCAGCCACCACATGGGAGCTACCGGGAGGTTCAAGGAAGGGAGTTTGGGTCTAAACTCACTGTATCTTCAGAAAATAGTCACATCCTTAGTCTGTTTTCTTTACTTGCTTTAGCGTCATCATTGGAATGTCAAAACAGAGAAGTAAGAATTGGGGAATTAGCAAAGGCTCTTTTGTGTTCAGAATGGTCTTTGATTCTTCTCTCCACAGCCAATTAATCTCTGAGTACTGTCAGTGCTGAAAAAATGCTCAAATCTACCGCTTTTTCCCTATTCCATTACCAACCCCAATTTGAGACCCTCATCGTGTCCCCATTGTAAGGTCACAATCGCTCTCTAGGGGTTTTCCCATCTCTTGTGTATCTTCCTTGTTTCTAACTCACTTCTCCATGTGGCAGCCCGTCATCTGAAGACCACAGTTGCAGGCCCCTCCCCTGCAGACTGGGACTTAGCACGTCTGGACCACAGAATTCATTAACCCAGGCTCCGCAGCTGGACCCAGACTCTTCCCTAATCTCACTTCTCAAGAGTCCTAATTCTCACTTCAAACACCCTACATAGTTCCTTGCCTTTGCCTGAGCAGGCCCTGCGCTGTCTTCCCCCTGGAGTCTTCCTATTCAGCACCTTGACTTCACTAAGTTCTAGTCCCTCCTGAAACCCAGGTTTAAATGCATCTCCTGAATTCAGACTTCTCCGATTTCCTCTACTCGCCCACACACCTCCACAGCATAGCTTGTCCTTCTCTGGCAATATTTATCATATGTGGAAATAGCTTCAGGGGCAGACAACAGAAGGTGAGCAACCACAGGACATGGACTACGTCTTCTTTTTACACCCTCTCAGGAGCTGGCACATAAGAGCTCCCAAGTGGAATCTCACTGACAACGGTGATTATAAAGACAGGAGCAATGAGGTGCCAGAGAGCAACAGAGTCAAGTGAGGAAAGGCAGTCATATGATGTTGCTTTTCTGGCAAATGTAACAAAAGCTTAGTTCACAGCAAACTGCAAATTATTTTTATTAGAATACGTTGAGGTTAAGGCAGCAACTCCGGTTTTACAGTTGCTGCATCTACTTTCCTCTCATTAATCCAGCTAGTCCAGCAAACTCTAATGAGCCTTCCTATGCTAAAGACAGGGAAACAAAATACGCCATTCTAGTGAACCTAGCAAAGAATTTTAGCTACCATGCATAATGCAGTGCATTCTTTAAAATAGTTTGTCTTTAGGATGGATTCAATTCCCTCTGGCAACAGGGGGTTTTAGGAAAAGATTCATGTTCTGATGCAATGAAAATGAAGTCCACTTACCAATACAGTAGCCGGTTGTCATCTTGACTTCAAAAAGTGCAATGCTGGTTGTGTTTCCCTGTCCCAGCACACCTTCTATTAAAATCTGTACAACATATGGGGGAAAGAGAGTTAGGCTTCAAAATGTCATGTTTCCTTGCTTCAGTGTTTCAGCTATTAGTTGGGAGCTGTTCAGCAATTCAAGGCAAAACAAGGTTGTCTGTCTCAACTAATTGATATTGGATACCAATTTCATGATAGAGTTTATTAAAACAATATGTGTGTGTTTACTTTATACACGGAAGGTTGAGAGGAGCAAGATGTCCAATAAAAGCTCAGAGGCGGCTGTCTTCCATCATTATCCCAAGCACCGCTCTCAGCAGTGCTTTTGGTGACATCAGCTGGCTGTGGGTGGAGAGGAGAGCTTGCGCGTTCGGGGAAATCCATTCTGAGAATGACCAGAAAGAGAGGGCAGAGTCTTCAGAGGGAAAAATATTTCTTGAGGGAGGTAGAAAGCATAATCTGACTAGTGATATGAGATCTTCACAAGTGATGGGGGCAGCTCAAACCAATTACCTTGTAGTTTCTATTAAATATATTGTTGGAAAATTTGAAAATTTCACACGAAAACAGAGAGAAGCATGACAATTATGTGGCTGATTTCATTCACTGGTATGGTCCACGTTTGGTCCCATTTCTGAAAGTATTTGCTTTTCCTTAGGTGATTTTAGCCCAATATTTTGCAACTGTGTTGGTAGATTTAGGGTGTGATGAACTGTTGAGAGGAGGTTGTAAAATAGGGAACTGAGACCCTCAGTGCTCCTTCCTTCCACCCACCCAAAATGGGAGGGGCTGCACGCAGACAGGGGTAGAGGAGAGCACAGTATTTCAACCCTTTTTGAAGAAGTGAAATGGGATAGGAAATTGGAAAGGGTATTAGGAATGGAGAACATTTTCATGAAGCCTCTATTGTATCTTCCACAACACATTCTCACTAAATAGAACATTTTATGGCCAAGTAAATCAAGATCCATCTTCCTTTCCTACTTCAATACACATCCAACTTCATCTTACATTTGCTACTTTTTTCAAGTGGCTCTGATGGAACAACTTCTATCTTTGAAAAGGAATCAGAGCATGTCTGTTAAGTAGTTTTCCTCTTTCAAAGTATTTTCATTTTTCCTTTTATTATAGTTAATGTTTTGTTTAAAATTTATAGGAAACAAACCATTAGGAAAATAACATAAGCATATACCATACACAACTTAGAAGAATGAAACAAAATTATAGGAAATGAGAATGTTCCTTTAAAGCTCATTAGAAAATAAATTTCCATTGAGGAGGTTGGTTTAAGCCTCATTTAGATTTGTACTGAAGTATCATTTAAAAAGACAGAAAAGAGCTTCTGGGAAGAAGCTCTTTTAAGGAATAAACAAAATATAAATTTCCATTTTTAATATTCTCTGCTGCATCGCCTATAAAACATCACATACAGGAGATAACTAACTTCAATGGTGGCAGTTTTCAGAAAACCTCAGGATAGCATAAAGCCATAGAGAAAGCCCTGCACCTTTCTCCTAAATTCTACCTGCCTTGAATTTCTTCGAACTGTTTTGCAAATCCAGGCTTGCTATGAGCCAGCTGTCCGAAGGTTCATTAGTTGACCAAAGCAAGCGATCAAAGCTTTCATCTTCAAATCTCAAGTAGAGATTCAGCCGACTGGGATCTGATGGAGACCCTGAAGACATGGTTATCTGGTAGACCAGTCGGAGGCAGCTCCATTCCTCAGCCTGTAAGTCAGAGCTTAGCAGCAGGGCTTTCTCTCCCTGCTTGGCAAAGGAGGTGTCCACATAAATGTAATGGCCTGGAAAGAGAAAGGAACACAGGGTAGGGATCAAGCTTCTATTGGCAACTCAGGAAAATACAAAACTGTGCAGCGAATATGAGGGCAGATGCAACCTACAGATGCTTTTATTCGCCCCCTGAATGTTGCCTGATCCCTGGATCTCTGTCTTCTTGTGAAAAATTAGAAGGTCCAGAACATTGAGGCTACTTACACATGATATGTGATAGCAACGGGCTGGAGCTGAGTAGTGCCACCGCATCAGAGGTGGCATGTAGGTTATATTTTGACATAATTCCTACTACTCCCCATTACCTCCTGACATTGAAGCCAAGTGTCTTTTTCCTGTTATTATGTTATGCCAAGCCCACTTAGCACACTTCATTCAGTTTCCTGGTTGCCACATGCATATGAGCTCTAGAACTCTGGCTAACAGGCTTCAGAATCTGGAGGAACAGCATGAGCAAGGGAAATACCCAAGGCTGGAGCAAACTCAACCTCCTCCTTCCGTAGCTTCCCCTTATACCTAATGATTCAGTCTGCACTGAACATGCCTCATTATAGTAGATGGAATTGATTTGGCTCCCTCAGATCTTGGGACCTAGACGGAAAAAGTTCATTGTAACCTAATTTTTTCATTAGGAATCTCCCTAAGAGTCTCAGACTCTACCATGACCAAATCTGACAGTTCTGGTAACTAAATGAGAAGCACATGCAAAACATGTGGGATGGGTCTTGGAAAGCCGTGGGTACTCTGGGACTAGCAATCAACATTTCCTTCTTTTCATCCCCTCTTGCCCTTTCTCAGTCCCTCCTTCCTCCTCTTTCCCCATCTCCCCTTCTCTCTGCCTTCTCTGCTCCTTGCCCCTTCCTGCTCCTCTCCCTTCACCTTTCATTTCCCTCTCTCCATCCCTCTTCCCTTTTCTTGCTCTCTCTCCCCTATCTTCCTAATATTGACAAGTGATACTCAGCTGGCTACACCAGGGTGTAGAACAGCATTTCCATGGGGGAAAAAAATGGATTGGAATCAAGAACCCTAACCTGAGACTTCCAAATCCAGCTCTGGTCATCGGCTCCCCATGGCAGGGACCTGATCTGTCTGTGGGTCCCCAGGGGCCTGCTGCCTTTCTGGCCTGCAGAATCTCAAGCTTGCTCAGAGGTTCTAGCATCAGAACCACTGTCTTCCGTCATGTGGCCATCCACTTCACCCCTTGCATTTTGGGTTCCCCAACACTAAACTCTTATTAGAAAGACACTGAAGGTCCTCTTTGCTTTGCTTGATGTCCTTCAGCCCCCTCCTTCCACGTTTGTTGCCTCGAATGCCAATCCCAGCCAGAATCCTTGCCTCTGTGGCAGGTACCCAAGTACTAGTACTGAGTACAGACCGGCCCAGAGCCCTGCAGCTAATGACCATCCTCACAGCTGGGGCACAGTGCGGGTGAGTATTCAGGGAGCCTTGCTTGCCCATGAAGGGTTTGAAGATCAAGATGCACCTCCAGCTAGCAGTCGTCTTAACAACCACCCAGGGGGTACAAATAGCAACTGCTTCCACATGTCAACCCAGGTACTCTCTGTGGAGAAATGTGGCCCTTGCAGTAACTGTCACTAACACCTTTACATCTATATACAGTGAATTTGCTATTGTCCATCTTGTTTTCCTTTTTAATTGTAGCCATTCTAGTAGACATGAAGTGCTATGTATTGTGCTTTTGATTTGTATTTATTATAATGACTAATGATGTATGGCACTTTTTCATGTGCTTATTGGTCACTTGTACATCTTTTCTGAAGAAATGTCTAAGTCCTTTTCCCACTTTAAAATTGAGTATTTCTCTTTATATTGTTGAGTTATAAGAAATTCTACATTTTCTGAAGACTAGATCTTAACAGATACTTGATTTCCAACTCTTTTTCCCATTCTGTTGATTGTCTTGTCACTTTCTTGTCCTTTGAAAGTACAAAAATTTTTTAATTTTATAAAGTCCAATTGTCTATTTTTTCATTGATTATATGTGTTTTTGGTATAAATAACTAAGAAACCATTATCTAAGTTAAGGTCATGAAGGTTTATTACCTATGCTTTCTTCTAAGAATTTTATAGTTTTAGCTCTTACATTTAGGCCTTTGATCTATTTTGAGTTAATTTTTGCCCATTAAATTCTCCTGGCACCCTTGTTGAAAATTGATTGAGCCCAGCTATAAGGGTTTATTTTTGAACTCTCAATTCTATTCCAGTGTTCCATGCGTGTCTTCATACCAGTACCACACACTCTTGTTTACCATAACTTTGTGATGAGTTTCAACTTGGGGAGAGTGAGCTCTCCAACTTCATTGTCTTTTTCAAGATTGTTTTGATTATCTAGGTTCCTTTAATTTCCATACGAATGCGAAGATCAGGTTGGGAACAGGGTACGTTACAATAACACAAAGCTCACTGTTCTTAATGACATTCAGTCTTTTTCTTGAATAAATGCTCTCAAATATTGCAAGTCTTTGGCTGATTTCAAGTTCTTCAAAAACTGGTTTTGAAATTGTTGTCAGTGTTTTTATTGCTTTTATGGGGACAGAATTTTCTAAAGTACGTTATCCACCATTCCTGCTGACTACACTCACTTTCCACATCTTTTTTAACCAGTAAGAACAGAAAACAATGGTTCAGAGATGTTAAAGCAAACACAAATAATAAGAAAGGCAAAGAAGAGCAGACATCACACGTGGACTGGGTTGTCCACTATGACGCATCAGCCCTAGAGCCTGGGGGAGATTTGCTAGCCACAGTGTTGGAGACATAATGACAGGAGGGGAGGAAAGATCTTCTTCGAATACTGCTGCTTAAGCAATTTAAGCTGATTTAAGAGACATTAATTGGAAGTGATAAAGTCTTATAAGGGGTCAGGCAAGGGCCATAAACTCCCAAACAGATACTCTTTCAAAGTCAGACAGTAATCAAAACCAATACTTAAACCATCCTGCCAAAAAGGTCAGGCTCCATGTGCCTCAGGTCCCGAATATGCTTTCTAGTCACATGCAGGCATCAGAAAACAGTAACAGAAAGAAATTTCCTGTTTCAGTGAAGGTCACACGTCATTGCTGGGCACATCTGCACAGCTAGAGCTCCATGTATTAACGACCTCTATTAGCCAAGACACAGTGTGATGGGTCTAAATCCCAGGCCATCACTCTGGCAGTGTGGCTGGGGCATGAGTCATGGGGAACTTGTTGGCATCCCTGCATCCCTGGGATTTTATTCGCCAATGAATGGACTGTCCTTTGGGTGTGGTGATCGTGCTGGGGTCACTGGGTGATGCAGTGGACCCCACGCAGGACTTAGAAAGTATAACCTTGGTTTAAAAATTTATGATGCATATGCCAACTGTGTCATCAGTTTCCTTACCTGCAAAATAGGAATAATAAAACAGTGGAGTCCTGTTAGGTATACATTCAGTATTTAGGAAGTCACTCAACGTACTCAGGAAAAAAAACCCTGAAAGCAACCTGACCACTGCAATATATACACACATATATGAAAAAACATGTCATATAAGTAGCCACTGAATGAAATCTGTTCTACATATTTCAACACAAAAAAGAAAATTGGCTATGTGGTACATAGAAATGGTATAATATACAGAAAACTGGATACGTTGTACAGTGTAATTAATTTAGTGAACTTTCTAGGGCAATTTTGACAGTATCCAATTTTCACATTCTGTGCTGAGTTTAGAACGTAAAGCTCCAGTGCGATATAACTCCATATATATGGGATTACTGTGAGAACCTGATGAATATTGCGAGAACCTGAAGCATATATATATGTGCTTTGTTATGGTAATGTTAATTGTCAATTATTTCTCATCATGTATAGGATCACCTCCTATACTGATAGTAATTTTCTTATTACTATCTTACTATACTATAGTAAGAAATTTATATTGCTTTCTTCCTTTTTTTCCCCAATGTGGTTCAGAGCTGATGTGCTGATGTGGGAGCAGTCTTTGTTCATTTCACCTTAACTGACCCTTTGATGTTGAAATCTATACCTTTATCCTCTGTAGGGCTGAGCTCCTCTGGGCTTCCTAGCCTCGGTGGTTCCTGTCCTCACAGCTAAGCCCTCTGGCTCTCTCCCAGAATTAATCATCACCTAAAGTGGAATTCAGCATTTTTACCCATGGTGTGATTCTGGCTAAAACCTCATAAGCCAGGTCTAATAACAATGCCTATGTCTCTATTTTGTTTAGTTCTTAGTGCCTTGCATATCCAAGACAAGGACGCTACCTTTTTTGTTTGTTTGATTCCTTTTTCTTTTCTTTTTTTTCTTTTTGCAACTTCATTCCCAGGGCTCAAGTTTATCCCCCTGAACTTAGGTAAAGGCCTTCTCATCAGATTTCCTGAATGCCTTACTGCCTGCCTCTCTGGACTGGGTCCTACCTGTGGAAGCAGTATAGTGGAGTGGTTAAAAGTATGTGTATCGCATGCCAACCAGATGTTGGTTCAAATCCCAGTCACACCATTTACAAATCATGTCACTTTGGGAGACTCACTTTCTTCATCAGTAAGATGAGGATGCTAAATATGCTGCAGAGCTTTAAAAAAGATCAAATAAGAAAATGTAAGGAAAACACTTTGAGCAGTGCCCAAGGGTACAGGGTAAGCTCTTACAAATGTTAGCTCTTATTTTTCCAGACATCCAGTCAACATACTCTTCCTGATGGTGAGCGCATCTCATCATCTCATATTGAACCTCCTTGATGCTAACTGCTACTAGTCCTCCCACTGCCCATTGCCCTACCCTTCTAATACCAAATTCTGCCCACTGCATAGAAAATCCACTCTCCTGGGCACCTCCTTTATTGCTACAGGCACATCTTTTTCTAGGTCCCAGTGCTGTCTAGGCTGTTCCCTACCACTGTCCAACTGTTTTTAGCTCTGACAATTATTTCTGGGATCAATAATTTGATCAAATCAGTCAGGACAATAATGCATGCAAAGTATCTAGCAAATGTTCATGAAGTTTTGGGTGT